ACTTAAAGGTGATTATTAGTGCTAATCTGGAATACAAAAGCCTTGCTTTATACATGCATGAGGTAAAAGCAATTGAGAAATAAAAAACACTTGTTATGAAGATAAAGGGTAGCTTGAGTGTGGAACTTCTAAAAGAAATCAAGTTATTGTATGAGCATTGTTTGGTCATTGTCACCCAAAAATCAATATCTCATACGAAATTCTCTCAGTTGGGTCCATAATTAAGCAGTACTTACCCAAATATTTTTGGTAAATTTGTTCATCAAATAATCTGACCTTTTATTATATTGGTTTGATTATAGTTAGAGGTTGATAGTTATCAGTTGAAAACAGTGCAGTGAGGTTGCTAAGCTATCATTAATTAAAATAATCCGGTTTACTGGGTCATTATTCAAATAGAAAATGCTAATACATCGATCTATGAAATAAATAAATAAATAAATAAAAAATCACACAAACGTAATTTTTTTATTAAAGTTGCATCAATAGTAACACTTAAAAAAATAATTTTTAATTCATTTATTAAATTAAATTAAATTTAAAAGTATGTTAAAATAATTAACATACGAGATTATAATAATACATGTACTTCAAAGGAGTGGTAACTCCTAAAAGCACTTATCTAAAAGATATCCTTAAAAAAAAGTCCAATTCAAAATAATTATTGCATTTTATATAAGGAGGTTATGTGATTTTTTTATTTATTTTATCACAACAAACAATCATTTTGGCTTGACAAAATAATAAAAGTTTAATTTTCACGGACCGTTAAAGTGTCAGAAATAGTTGATAAACAAATTAAAATTAAAATGTAAAAAGTTGTTAGATTTACAGAATTTTAAGCGTGGCAAAATTAAAAATAAAAATAGATGATAAATATAAATTAATGTATATATATAATAATAATAATAAGTACGTAATTATAATTTAAATTTAATTAATTTTAATTTTCCATTTTAAAATATTTTAGTTTAATAATTTTTTAATATAAGTTTGTTATTAGTTTTATTTTAAATCTTAAAATACAATATTAGTGTAAATGCGTGAGAGGAAAAATACCAAAAGAGTATAAATAAAAACCTAACTTAGGTTAAAAATGAAAAAAAAAGTTTAATAAATATTTTAATGTTATAAATAACATCGGAAAATGTAATAATTCACAAATTTTACTTAAAATTTTTACTAGAAAAATAAAAGAAATAATTTTCTCACCTATAGTAGTTTAGTTTACCGTCATCTAGAATAGTTGAAAAATATTATACATCAAAAATCATAATTACACTAATGTTTTACGCATAATCACATAACATAAAATAACTCCTTCAAATTTAGGAGGTCTCTACTTCATTTCTCAAATCACTAGGTCTTACTATCACTTGCAGAATATTTGGAATTTGCTCACGTGTATAATACGATCATAGCAGGATCCCAAAAGATCAAGCACACAACAAAAACAAGGGTAAACTACCATTTGATAAACATGTAGAACAGTATAACATTGCAAATGACACTTATTCATTCACAAACATCCTAAGGCTAGACTCATCGGAGAGTCTAGCATCCTACAATCACAACCACACAACAAGATTGACGCTTTCCAGAAAATTATATGGAATTCAGACCAGTAAGACAGATATCTGATGAGGAATATTTGGGGTCTCAGACCCTTAAATTTTTATGGTCCCAGACCTATAATATCATTTTTCAACCTCTTATTAGAGCAACACACGCATAGGATTGACACTATGTTGTGTCTCCATTGATTTCCCACCACAGATGTCTTCGTCTATATGACTAGGAACATCTTGAAAGTCTGGATGCCTTATTATGTTTGTCCATAATTCTATACACACTATTCTACACAGTACATCAAGTCTATCATTCAACAACTATCATAGTTTTCATTTAGGTCTTATAGTCTGTATTATCACATTATCAGGTTTTAGTACCCTTCACATTTCATTATTAACTCATATTCAATATAGAATAATCAAAAGATGCAACAGAACATCAATACCAACTGTGGGTGACTTGGTGTCAGTGTAATCAATTATAACTGGTCTAGTAATCGATTACGAGAGAGAAATTGAATTTCTAATTCCCTCGTCAGTAATCGATTACCACATCACTGTAATCGATTACACCCTACAGAGTCAGATTATGCAGATGTAATATTTCAGCAGAACACAGCTAGTATAACTCAAAATTTTCAGAATCAAACCAATATCATGCAGTTCACTATGTCCAGCCCAACATTAAAATTCTCAACGCCTATGTAATCACAATTCACTTAAAATGATACATCATTTATCCTTCAAACTAACACAGACCAACCATACAGTTTAGAAACTCAATGATACAAATATATCTATTTCAGCCAATCTATTTCAAAATAGTTTATACTGTAAGATTTTCCACAAGTGCTCACAATATCATATCACATACAACATTTAATATATATATATATATATATATATATATATATATATATATATATCACAAACATACCCATTGTTCACTTAATCTAATTTTTCATTAATACAATGCAGTCAGTAAAGAAAACCAGCTATTATACTCACTCAATCATATACTCTACTAAATCAGTTTTAAGCATCGTCCAACTAGTTTATCAAGACAACATTAACTCTTAATTTATATCTAAAACAACTAAAGTTCATCATTCACTTCAAATTCTAAAATCTTCACTCACCATCAATGCAAGAATTAACAAAACCTAAAGTTTCAACACAAGTAAAAATCATTGAAGTTTCCCTTATTTATGGATGATGCTACACGTCAACCTAACTCCAACAAAGTCTTAGAAACGTCAAACCACCTAAGATGTACCGTTCTCCCCAAATTTGAGAAACCCCAAAAACGAGATTGAAGTGAGAAACAAAATTAACCTCGAGAACATGAGAATGGGGAGTGACGAAGTAAGAGAAAACCTTTTAATTCCATAAATAATTTCTTAAGTTCTCAAAACCTCCAAATTTTAACTCGCAAAACCTTAAAGTTCAAACTTACCAAAACGAAATTCTAATTGATGAGTTTTCTGTTGTTCTCCGCTATGAGCATAACTGGCGGTCTCATACTTTTGATCGGGTAAGAAGATCATCCTGATATGCAGGAAAAAATTATGGAGGTAAACTATAAAGGAGAAATTTTTTTTTCACAAAAAAAAAAAAGAGAAATTGGTTTTCTCTCTTCCTCTTTTTTATTTTTTCTTTTAATTAAAATATATTACATAAAAATCACAACACATTTTAAAAAGTAATATAAATGATTAATTATATACTAATTCAGTAGAATTCAACTCAAACATATTTTATCGGTGGTTTAAATGAATTAGATTTAATTTTAATTCATTATCAATAAAAATAAAAATAAAATCTAACTCATATATACTCGAATATGTAATAAGTCAGGTTGACTGAAGGATTCCAACCCAACACAAGTAATTCAGAGTATCGTGCTTCTAGAAGACAAGTATTTGTCGGTTGGTACTTATCTTCTCTCTTCTGAATCACTTTTTTGTCACTTTCTACAGTTATCATCATCAATCCAAACAAAAAAACATAAAAACAAAAGTCAGTTTCGGCGGCTACGCTCTTCCGTATGTCGATTGCTCTCTTCCTCGTCATTTCACCTTACGTATTTTTTTTTTAATCTGAACTATTATAAATTCCCAGACAGTAGTTGATATTTTTATTTTAAAAATAGTTATACTAGAAATACGAATTTTCTTTGTCAAGATATATGATCCATAATTTAACTGTTTAATCCAATATTTGGACTGGTCTACTTCAAAGTAAAGTGTTTACCAACATGGGTTAAGAAAAATATGGATCTCAACCTCATCAATTTATTATGAATTAGTAACTTTATTCATAAATTCATATTTTTTTATTGAATTATAAAATTGAAACGTATAAATATGATAATATATTAAATATTATGATATTATTAAAATACGATAAATAATATAATATAATTAAAATATAGTGATATGATGACATAATAAATATTACAATATGATTAAAATATAATAAATATAATTAAAATATAATAATATAATGAGATGATAAATATTATGATACGAATGTAATAAAATTAAAATACGATAAAAATATAATTGTAATAAACATGACATGATACCGTAGGATGGATGGAAAATAAACTAAATATAACGAGGATAATTTATTATAAGTTAATCTATCGTAATTCGAATTAAATTTGTTTAATACATAAATTAAGTAAGTTAATTTTTTTAATGTATTATTAGTAAAAATAATTAAAATAAAAAAGGTAATATTAATTAAAATTAATAAATTATTATTATTATTTTTAAAATGAACGATGGATTAATCTCCTGCCATATCTAGTTTCTAGTTTCAACTCATAATTAGCGCATATTACAACCATACTGACACTACACCGCCAGTGTTTACGCTTGGGATATTAAATAATACAAGATAATTGAACCATAGAAAACGCTTCCTTAATTCATGTCCTAAATTTCATTCTAAATATCCTAATTTAGTGGAATATAGAAAGCAAAGCACCAGCTTTTTTTATTATATTTTTTCAATAATAATTTTTAAAATGCAATTAATGTATAACCGTGATATTCCTTGTTGATCCAATTATTTCCGAGTCTAAACGTCCAAGTCAATGGATGTAAATACATTGACGCTGGCTACTTCCAGTTTGATCTAACGTCGCTGTACGACAACTTGGTGGACCCTCTTCCACACGAATTGAAACACTCGTACCAGAGAACTGGTGAGTGCTTTAGGAAAAGTAGCATTAACAAACTACCCGGTAAAAAAACAAAAAATCAAAACAAGAAGAAGATGTGAAAACGACCGTTGTAACAGAAATACGAAATGGAACAACCCTTGTCTTCACTAAACCATTTTCCAACGATGTCGTTTTGCTTGGGATGCTTTACCGTGACCTCACAGGTACACCAATGACCGCCATTTCCTTTTTCTTCAATGTCAGTACATAAAGTTAACGCGGAGGAGTTGGAATTGAAAGACCCAAATGAAAACCATCTCGCACTCATTTTCTTTCACTCTCCAAACATGTTCGCCACCTTCCGAGTCCTTCTTCTTCTCTCACTCTTTTATCCACTCACCACCGCCCAACTCGACCACGACCACGACCGTCAAATCCTTCTCAACCTAAAATCCTCCCTCAAGAATTCAAATTCAAAAGTGTTTGACTCATGGAATGCCACCAGCTCCGTTTGCAGTTTCCACGGAGTAACATGCAACACCCTCGGTTCCGTAACCGAAATCAACCTCCCCAACCAAACTCTAACCGGGCTTCTCCCATTCGACTCTCTCTGCAACCTTCCATCGCTCCAGAAACTTGCGTTCGGCTTCAACTACTTGTACGGCAATGTTTCAGAGGACCTTAGAAACTGCGTCAACTTGCGGTACTTGGATTTGGGAAACAACCTTTTCTCTGGTCCCTTCCCCGACATATCTCCTCTTAATCAGTTGCAGTACTTGTTTTTAAACAAAAGTGGATTTTCCGGAACTTTTCCGTGGCAGTCGCTGTTAAACATGACGGGTCTGTTGCAGTTAAGTGTCGGAGATAACCCTTTCGATCTCACGCCGTTTCCCAAAGAGGTTGTCAGTCTCAAGAAGCTGAATTGGCTCTACCTGTCGAACTGCACCCTCGGAGGGAAACTTCCGGTGGGACTCGGCAACCTCACAGAGCTCACCGAATTGGAATTCTCCGACAATTTCATCACCGGCGATTTTCCCGCGGAGATTGTGAACCTATGGAAACTCTGGCAGCTTGTGTTCTTCAACAATACCTTCACGGGGAAGATTCCAACCGGGTTGAGAAACCTCACGGGGCTTGAGTATTTGGATGGGTCCATGAATAGACTCGAAGGGGATCTCTCTGAATTGAAGTACTTGACCAATCTGGTTTCGCTGCAATTTTTTGAAAACAATTTATCGGGGGAGATTCCAATTGAGATAGGCGAATTCAAACGCCTCGAGGGTCTCTCTCTGTACAGGAACAAATTGACAGGTCCTATTCCTCAGAAGGTTGGTTCCTTGTCCGACTTTAATTTCATTGACGTGTCGGAGAATTTCTTGTCGGGAACTATTCCCCCGGATATGTGTAAAAATGGGAAGATGACCGCACTGCTCGTGCTTCAGAACAAACTCTCCGGCAGGATTCCGGCCACCTACGGAGACTGTTCGAGTCTGAAGCGATTCAGAGTCAGCAATAACTCTCTCTCGGGTACCGTGCCTCCTGCGATTTGGGGATTGCCCAACGCTGAAATTATCGATATTGAGTTGAATCAGTTGGAAGGTTCGGTTGCTTCGGATATCAAAAACGCCAAAACATTAGCTTCAATATTCGCGAGGCAGAACCGGTTGTCCGGTGAAATACCCGAAGAAATCTCAAAAGTGACGTCGTTGGTGAGTATGGACCTGAGCGAGAATCAGATTTCGGGGAAGATTCCAGAAGGAATCGGGGAGCTTAAACAACTAGGTAGCCTTCATTTACAGAGCAATAGGTTATCAGGTTCGATACCGGAATCTCTCGGTTCCTGTAAATCCCTCAACAACATTGACATATCGAGGAATTCACTCTCTGGAGAAATCCCTACCTCATTGGGTTCTTTTCCCTCGCTGAATTCTCTGAATCTTTCAGACAACGATCTCTCTGGTGAAATCCCAGGGAGTTTAGCGTTCCTCAGGTTAAGCCTCTTTGACCTATCGCATAACTGGCTAACCGGTCCAATTCCGCAGGCTCTAATCCTCGAAGCTTACAACGGAAGCCTCGCCGGAAACCCCGGTTTGTGCAGCGTGGACGCGATTAACTCCTTCCCGCGTTGCTCACCTTCCTCTGGCATGTCCAAGGACATGCGTGTTCTCGTCATTTGCTTCGCGATAGCGTCAATATTGTTGCTTTCGTGTTTGGGAGTCTTCTTGCAGCTGAAAAGGAGGAAGGAGGAGGGAGAGAGATTCGGAGAACGTTCGTTGAAGGAGGAATCCTGGGACGTGAAATCGTTCCACGTGTTAAGTTTCTCGGAGGGGGAGATTCTAGATTCCATTAAGCAGGAGAATCTGATAGGGACAGGAGGTTCGGGGAACGTGTATAGAGTGACGCTTTCCAACGGGAAAGAACTGGCCGTGAAGCATATTTGGAACACCGATGTCCCAGCTCGGAGAAAGTCGTGGAGTAGCACTCCCATGCTTGGGAATAAGCGGGGTGGGAAGTCAAAGGAGTTCGATGCAGAGGTTCAGGCTCTGAGCTCCATAAGGCACGTGAATGTGGTGAAGCTCTTTTGCAGCATAACGAGTGAAGATTCGAGCTTGTTGGTGTACGAGTATTTACCCAATGGAAGCTTGTGGGATCGGCTTCACACGAGTAGAAAGATGGAGCTTGATTGGGAAACGAGGTATGAAATCGCGGTCGGGGCGGCCAAAGGATTGGAGTATTTACATCATGGGTGCGAAAGGCCCGTGATTCATAGAGATGTCAAGTCCAGTAACATCTTGTTGGATGAGTTTTTGAAACCTAGGATTGCGGATTTTGGGCTTGCTAAGGTTGTTCAAGCCAACGTTGGCAAGGATTCTTCCACACGTGTCATTGCCGGAACCCACGGTTACATTGCTCCTGGTTAGTATCTATCTATCTCTCATTTCGGATACAAATTTGATAGTCGTTAATTTATTATGTATTGTATTATTATTCCTATTACGTAATTGTCGTTGGAATTGGTGCAGAATATGGTTACACGTACAAAGTGAATGAGAAGAGTGATGTGTACAGCTTTGGAGTGGTGCTGATGGAACTAGTAACTGGAAAAAAGCCAATTGAAGCAGAATTTGGGGAGAATAAGGACATGGTGAGTTGGGTCCATAACAAGGCACGGAGCAAAGAGGGTCTTAGGAGTGTTGTGGATTCGAGGATCCCAGAGATGTACAAAGAGGAAGCTTGCAAGGTTTTGAGAACCGCGGTTCTGTGCACTGCAACTCTTCCTGCTTTAAGACCCACCATGAGAGCTGTGGTTCAAAAACTTGGCGATGCTGAGCCTTGTAAACTGGTTGGAATTGTTATTAGCAAAGACAGTGGCGAAAAGAAAATAGGAGTCAACGACAAGTAATAATGTATTCATACAGAGCATGGTCTGTTACAGCAGGCTCAAGATTATGGACGATAATCAAATGGAACCGACCACCTTGACAAGTTAGCTGTAAATTTTGTTGGAAAGAGGGAACAGTGTAAAATATTAGCCATGGCTTCTTTAACCTGTATTTTGAATTCTATTACTGTTTGTCCCAATAAAAGAAAGAGAAAAAGCAAACTCCTTTTTTCCTCTATTACTAATTAAATGAAAAGGGTAGATTGAAAAATTGGTTTTCTCTGATCCTGTGGATCATGAATATGAATCCTATTTATACGATTGGTGTGACCAGTGCATATTCCTTCCGTTTTTGAATTAACAAAAACTCAATAATAAAAGATGATTGTGCGATGTCATAGGTCAAATGGCTGAGGAGGAGTGAAGAAATGACAAGGTAATTGAATGCCTAATTTACGTACATGAAAGTGGAAGATAACTAATCCGTGACTCTGAAAACAATGGTATGTTCATGCATCTGATACAGAATGTGAATGTTATATATTATTTAGTTTTGATTCCATTTTGGATTGAATTAGTTTTTGAAAATGAATGAGGTTAAGAATTACTCCACAAGCCAACCAGCCCAACACAATATGCAGGTCCCAACAAAATATAGTAGTTTATGTCGGGTGCAGTTTTATTTTTATTTTGCCATTAAGGTCATTTGAGAAAGGAGTGTGCATATGTTAAATCAAGGAGTTTTGGGTCTACATCAGATTTATGACTTTTTTGTTATGGGTCTACATAGGTTGTTGGTCCACAATATTTATAAGTTAAATAAGTTTGGTATTTGAAAAACACTTTTATTAAAAAGTTTTTAATGTGCAGAAGCTACTATAACTCTATCACTTTTTTTTTCTTTTCTGTTTCACACTAAAACTCTATCACTTGTATTAATAAATTTTTGGAAAATTAGAAAAAAAAATTGTTTTAGACTCATGTCATTTGGAGACATCCTTTTATTACATAATAAATAATTAACAAATAGATTTCCATAACTTTCTTCTCATTATATCTCTGGAGATATTGGCACATTAAATTTTGATAATTGATTACATAATTTAATTTTAAAAATTACAAAATGAAAATTATAGACTACTATAGTCGTTATAGTTTTAACATTAATAAATTGTGAATTACTTTTATCAAATTGTAAAGGTACAAATATATAAATTTAATATTTTTTTGAGATAAAAATAATGTTTTCATGGTTTTTAAAACTCAATTGATTTGAAACTGTAACACTATAAATTAATTTGAGAAATTATTCCTATCATACATTTAATATTTAAATTTAAATATACTTTAAATCATACATACACCGTTATTTCTATTTTAACCTGTCATGTATTAAACATAATGTGTCAGCAATTAATTGAATGGTTAAAATAATTACTTTTTAAAATATAAATAATAGGAAATAAAATCATATTAATTTTCAATAACTATTTCTTCCTTTTTTTTTAATTTTGTATCTTTATATCAAATCAATTTGCCCATCACAGTACTCTTGAGTTTTTTTATTATATTAATAATTATAATTTCTTTTAACGTTAGGATTTGCGAAAATCTGATTAGTTTATCATTATGGTACGTCATTTGATGATTAGTTAATCATTTTTCCCATCACACATGTTTCTTCTATATAAACTTTGTTTCCCACTCAATGTTATGCCTTTATTTATTATATTTTCTTATCAGAATTTTGCTACTTTAATATTTTTTCCTTTGACACTGCCAGAAAATTCCCAAAATTTAGATTATACTTTTTGTATAATTTTTTCATTATTACTTTGCTTTTTATCTTGTTCAAATTATATGCAATTTTCAAACTGACCAAATTAATTAAAAATTATTTGTAGTTAAAGAATCACGCACGCAAATAGTTTGAAAACATACATGAAAAAGTAAAATGGCCCATGTGAATGCATTGGTCCGTGAACACAAAGTTTAGAAAATTTTATGGGCTGTGAATAATTTTAGGCAAGCCCACATGTAAAGAATGGCCCATTTCATTGGATCCAAAATTGTCAATATTGTGTATGCCTATGCAAGAACCAAGAGAGTTTCAAAATTAATGTTTAGGACTTATGTATACAAAAAATAATTAATTAAGTTGTAAAAAATGAAAGTGTAAATATAAATTATAAAATATAAAATGTGATCTTACAAAATACATAACAATTGAAAATAATTTAGAATAAACATTTGAAAATAATTTAGAATAAACATTTGAAGTTGGATAAATGTTACATCTGTAGTTGAATATCTCAAATAGAAATTAAAAAATAAAATAAAATTATTATATGATCTTGTTAAATTCTAAACTCTAAATCAAAATAGAATAGTGTAGGACTGTTGTGTATATAACTTTAAAAGATGTTTCCAAGGTTAAAAAAAATATTTGATGTATATAAACAGTTATTAACTTGATTTTAAAATAATATATAACTCATAAATATAGTAAAAATAATCTCTTCAATAATAAAATTTATTTAATTCATATTTATGATGATAATTATTATATGTATATATATATATATATATATATATATATATATATATAATTAATTAGAGAAGACATTAGGGCAATCAAATGATAGAAAGCAAAGGCACAGAGCATGTATTTCATCACTGTTTTTCCTACGTTCGTTTGGAAATTTTTTTATTTTTTTTCATGACACAACCCACAAAATATAATAATAATAATATGTTTACAAAGATAAATCAAACATTTAAAGTAAGAAAAAAAATGATCTTGATGTCGGGAATATATGTATTATTTATTTTGGAATTGTTATATGCACAATTTTATATTTTTAATAGACATTTTAATGGATTAAGAGAGAAAATGTATTTAAATTATTCTTAATTTTAATTTTTAATAGATTAAAAAATATATATATTTAAATTAACCTTAATCTCAACTTAAAATTTCATAAACATACCCAATAAAATTCATCTCAATTAAAATCTTATAAAGTTGAGATAAAATTTGATGACTCGACTTTTATATTATCCAGTTAAATTATATAATTAAATAAATATAAAACAAAGTTATATTGTGTAATCGTTGTTAATATTTTCATCGTAGAGAAAAAAATTTAAAAGGGTATAGTTTTAAAAAATAATAATTATAATTTATATATTTAAAAAATAGTTCAAATATAAAAATATGATATGTGATTAAAAAAAGTTAATAATTTAAATAGAAGAAAAAATTTTAATATAATTATTTAAAAATGTAGATATGATATTTCCGCTAATCATACTAAAGAATATTAAATAATACAATATCATGTCCGATAATATATTATTTATTAAGTTAAAATGTAATATTATCGATATATAACTTTAATATATATATTATTAAATTGGATTACAACAACACAATTCGATGCAAAGGATAATCTGAATACAGGTAATTAAAATAATGTGCATTTTTACCAAAGATTATATGTATTCTTAAATAATAATAAAATAAGAGGTAAGTTAAAGACACTCATTAATAAATATTTACATTTATGTTTTTAATAAAAGAAATTCTCTTATTATTATTATTATGAAAAGTAGTGCTAATGTTATGTTTTGAATAATATTTCAAATAAAGTAAATGTAAAAAAGTGTATTCTAATAACATAGATATTATTATTAAGAGTGAAAATAAAGGAAAATTGTGTTTGGAATATTTTGCAATAATGTGTTGGGACGCGGCTTTCCGCAGCATGTTAGAACATAATTTGTTTGAAACGTTTTAGACATTTAAAGCTTATCCATCCACAATGCTTGTCTACTCCTCACCAAAGCATACATTTTTTTTTTTTAATTTTTCTTTTGAAGAGGAAAAAAAATGTTTTTGTGGGTCCTTGGTGGAAGTGCAAAACAAGATTAAAGCAAAAAAATGCCAAGGAATTGACATGTCACCATTTTGCCAAATCAATGCACTCAAACTTTTTCAGAGTGGGCATCTTTGCACTTCCATCATTCACAATTCATTTCACACAGATTCCCACTCATCGTCCTATTTGGGCTCATATTCCCATTCTGGGCTTTCACTAAGGCCCACTGCATTCTCATCTTAAGCCCTCACAAAATCAAACCAATAAATATATCTCAGTCAGGGAACTACAACTATTCATGCCAAGAAAAAGTAACCCTGAAAGAAATTTTTTGAGTAACAAGTCAAAGACATACGAATAAAAAGTGCCTCGAAAAGTTCCACTTCTTTTTTCTTTTTTAGACTTCCCATTTCAAATCATATAGGATTTTCCAGCTTCATAAAATTGTGTCATTCCAATAAATTTCCTTCCAACCAACATGGTTGAACTAAGCAAACTCTTTTTTATTGGTTTGGATCCAAAATTTCTCAACCCCAAATCAACTCAACATCAATGAACAACAATTTAGTAAATACTTTCTAATATGAATACAAGAACATAATAATTTAAATGCAAAAAAAAACAACAACGAAGTGTATATCTTATGATATGATGGAACAAGGATCTAATTCTTAACAATTGGAGAGAATTTGGCTCAAAGGGTCTGGCTATATATAACCCACTAAAGCTACAAAAATAATCCACTCAACCAAGAGAAACCAAATTATTCACAAACTTTTTTAATCAGAAAAATACAGGACAAAGGGTAAAAGGAACAGGAGAAAAAGAAACAAATAATCTTCCCACCTTTATTTCTCCACATTCACTTTTTTTAATGATAAAAACAAAATTGAAACCCTTCTTCAGAGTTTAACCAGATTAGTAAAAAAAAGAAAAAAAAGAGTTTTGCATAATTGAGTACACCTTCATCCTTACAACATAGATTATAACAGTCTTCCTTTGTTGTTATTATATTGAAGTACCACGTTAAACAGAAATAAGAATGTTGAATAAGTTATAATAAAAAAATTCAAATATTTTAAGATTTTGGTTTAAAAGTGATATTATATTCAATCTTTTTTTTGGGGTTTATTTGTAAAAATCTTTTACCAACTATCGACTCATAGAAGGAAAAAAAAAAAAAAAAAGAGAATGAAAGAATGAAAGGGAAGATGAAGAACAAACCTGAAAGCTTCATGGTCCCCTGTTTTTGTATCTTTGATTGTACATGGAATATTGTCCCCACCCTTTTGATGTAAACTGTTGTATACACAACTGAACTAACCTATCAGAATTTATATATTTCTCTGTGAGTGTAAATTTTGAAAAAGTAAAGGAATATTTCAACAAAAGATAACATTGAATCATGAGAGAATAAGAGAAATTGATCATACGGATACTCTTTCTCTTCTCATTTCTTCCGTAACACCAAAGAAGATGTGGGAATAGAATCTGGTGTCACAACAAATATCTGACTTATACATTGAGAATATGTAATATGTGAAGAGTAAGTGGAGTTTACTATATGAATAAGGTATTATTGAATGACACAAGTAAAATAATAAGTGGAATTTACTTCTTAACCCAATACCTTCTACTTTTTAAACCAATAATTCATTTTTTTAATATATATATATACCTGCAATGCAAGTGTGTAAATAAAGGATATATTATTATTAATTAAAAATAATAATCACTTTTTGGACTCTTTTGTCTTATTAGTATCACACGTGTTCATTAGATGATTTGGATGGTTTTAGCTTAAATTTTATTAAATTATTTACATGAATTTAAATTTAGTCCAACACAAATATATTTTCTTTCAAACAATTTGCACCATTGGTTCACACAACTTGCAAGATAAAAGCTTTACTGATAGAGAGTGGAACATCACTTTTATCCTTGTCATTGTAGATATTTGGAGATCAAGAAGAAACAATCACATTTTCAATAAATGTTGAAATTGATTGGGATTATGTGTTTGATCTTCATGCTAAGTATATTTGCATGAAAAGTTTTGCTTTGTTGAAACATTTTCATCTATGCAACAAAACTAACAAATCCATGTTCTATTTCCACATGGATTTTAGTTTATTTATTTATTTATTATTATTATTATTATTCCTTCTCTCTCACACACACAACAACTGTCAAAGAAGCATCTTAATTTTCATAAAATAAATCATGGGTTTTTAACTTTCTTTTTATCTTTATGTTTTTTTTTTCACATTCTTATTTTTATCCATTAAACAATAATTATCATGTGCAATATTTTAAATAGTGAGATTTTTTATTATAGGAATTAAAAATACGACATACCTAATTCTGATTTTAGTTTTTTTTTATTCCTTCTCTCACACACACAAGAATTGTCAATTAAAGAAGCATTTTAATTTTCATAAAATAAATCATGGGTTTTTAACTTTCTTTTTATCTCTATTTTTTCCCACATTCTTATTTTTATTCATTAAATAATAGTTGTAATGTGTAATATTTTAAATGATGAGATTTTTTATTATAAAAATTAAAAATGATAAGATTTCTAATTTATTCCTATAAAATAAATTTAGTAAAAGAAGAATAATACTCATCTATATAATATAGTTATTGATGTAAAATTTTATCACACCTCCTTATATAAAAGAGAATTGTTATATTCCAATATTATTAAAGTTGACTTTGATATCATATTAAAAATAATTAGATATTTAACTTAACTTTACAAAATTAATTCAATAAAATACATAATTTAATCTTACAATATTAATTTAGTAAATAAAGATTATACTGATATATATATATATATATATATATATATATTATAATATTATTATATTTCTCATTTATAGGATATTTTATTTTAATAGTTACATGATAAAAATTAAAATTAAAATTTTGATTTTGTATGGAATAATAACATATTAGGTCTAAGGGTTATTATAAGATATAACATGAAAATTGCTCAAGGATAGTAATGGAAATTGAAAAAAATGAAAATGGAAATACCATGGGAATAAAAGAATACTTTCATACCAATTTTAATTTTTAAAGATTATAAAATTAAAAAAAAAAATCACTTTCTAGTAAAAACCTCAGGAGAGCATATAACTAAATAGAAGAATTAGAAAGAGAACAAAACATTGAGAATTTAGTAAAAATATGACCAAGATAAGTACATAAGAAAATAGTTTAAAACAGAAATTTCATTTCAAAAATCACTGTTTCTTGTTTTAAAATGTGTTTGATTAAATGTTTTTTCAAAAATATTTTATAAAAATATTTTCAAAATTTCCTTAAATATTCTGCAGCATTTATCGAAAGGAAATATTTATTTTAGAAGTTTTTAGTATGTTCTATAACAAGATAGTTTTTAGAAGTCTTTATAGAAAACTGGTCTAAATGTATCCTTAATTCATTATTAAGCGTTGAAGTGTTTATAAATATTAAAACCTTTCCACGACGGTCAACCGTAAGCAAAAGGTTTAAAAATAAAAGCTTGGGTTTCATATTTCAGTACTGTCATCATCACACTCTGATAAGAGTAAATAAGTGCTAAACGCTTGGTTGTGTCAATATATTTTTAATGATGCGAATTTGTTCTAATTTGTTTAAAGCAACTAAAGAAACCAAATTATAAGTTGGTTGATGAGGCACTACAAATGCATTTGTTCGTTTCCGTCTTTGCTTTTATTATTGAAGTGGGATATATCTTTATAATTGGCTAGGATTGGAATCCATGAGAAAGATGTGGATCACACCCCCCCCCCCCTGGCTCAAACCAAAATATTGTTTTCTTCCAAAAGATGCTGCTCACTCATACATACGGTGGTTAGTATCAGATGCAATTCATTCTACTTGCTGTAGACTACGGAAGTGTATAGCAGCACACAAAGAGAATGCATTTTTTATATCATTATCAAAAAGAGAATGCATTCTTCAAAAAGATAACACTGTTATCACCACAACAAGATTTTTATCAGTCGTTATCACATCATCCATTTTAATTATGCCACATATGTATGTCTGTATACAGCACTATCTTTCTAAAGCTTAATTTATATATGAAACAGTGAAATGGTTTTGGTTTGTTTGAGAAAACTAATGATAAAGAATGAAAGTATGAATGATTATGTTACAAGGAGGAGTACATTGTTACAGGTGCTGGGAGAGTATAAAGTATACATGCACTGATGTTATTCTTTGATGAGGGAGTGGTAGTGGAGTATAAACGTAAAGCCTCTTTACCAAAGATGTTCACTTCTCCCAGCAGTACTTGAGCAAGAACCTGCTTTTTCATCATCAAGGCTTGTCACTGCTTCCCTAAGTGATCCACTCAACCATTCCATATCTTATATACATCTCTTACACCCTTCTTCTTCCTTGCAACCTTTACACTAACCATAACCACCCCTCCTCCTTTTTTTTCTCTCAAGATGAACCATCATCCCTTCATCACCCTCTTATCTACTATACTCATCGTTTGCACCACCACCGTCTCACTCTCACAGGTTATCAACACCAGTAGCAGCACCAAGAACCAGTCACAGTTTTTCTCTCTCATGAAGATGTCTCTCTCGGGGAAGTACCCTATGGATTGGGACGCTGGGAAATCCGTGTGTGGCTTCACCGGAGTTACCTGCAATACCAAAGGTGAGGTTATCAGCCTCGACCTTTCAGGTTGGTCATCACTTTCGGGAAAGTTCCCATCGGATACATGCTCTTACCTCCCAGAGTTACGTGTTCTCCGCCTCGGCCACGCCAGGTTCAAGTTCAACGTGGACACCATCCTTAACTGTTCCCACTTGGAAGAGCTTAACATGAACCACATGTTCCAGACCGGCACACTCCCTGATTTCTCTTCCTTGAAATCTCTCAGGATTCTCGACTTGTCCTACAACGTCTTCACAGGCCAGTTCCCCATGTCAGTGTTCAACCTCATCAATCTCGAGGTTCTAAACTTCAATGAAAACGGAGGCTTCAACCTGTGGCAGTTACCTGCAGATATTGACAGGTTGAAAAATCTCAAGTCCATGGTGCTGACAACGTGCATGGTGCATGGTCAAATCCCTGCATCCATAGGGAACATAACCTCCCTCGTCGATCTTGAGCTGAGTGGGAATTTTCTCACGGGACAAATTCCGAAAGAGCTTGGTCAGCTGAAGAACCTTCAACAACTTGAGCTTTACTATAATTACCATCTCGTTGGGAACATTCCAGAGGAGTTGGGGAACCTCACGGAGCTCGTGGATTTGGATATGTCAGTGAACAAGTTCACTGGGAGTATCCCTGCGTCGGTGTGTAGGCTTCCAAAGCTTCAAGTCTTGCAGCTCTACAACAACAGCCTCACAGGAGAAATCCCAGGTGCGATTGAAAACTCAACAGCTTTGAGAATGTTGTCTCTCTACGACAACTTCCTTGTAGGACAGGTTCCCAAGAAACTGGGACAGTACTCTGGAATGTTAGTTCTTGACTTGTCGGAGAACAAGTTTTCTGGTCCGTTGCCAACCGAGGTTTGCAAGGGAGGTACGCTAGAGTACTTTCTCGTTCTGGATAACATGTTTTCTGGAGAGATACCACAGAGTTATGCGAACTGCATGAGGCTCTTGAGGTTTAGAGTAAGTAACAACCGTTTGGAGGGTTCCATTCCCGCGGGACTTCTTGGTTTGCCACACGTTTCAATCATTGATTTGAGTAACAATAACTTGACTGGTCCGATTCCCGAGATTAACGGGAATTCTAGAAACCTGTCCGAACTGTTCCTTCAGAGGAACAAGATTTCAGGTGTCATAACTCCCACAATATCACGAGCCATAAGCCTGGTCAAGATAGATTTCAGTTACAACCTTTTGTCTGGTCCAATCCCTTCCGAAATAGGCAACCTCAGAAAGCTTAATTTGCTTATGTTGCAAGGGAACAAGCTGAATTCTTCCATCCCTGGTTCACTCTCTTCATTGGAGTCTCTCAACCTTCTTGATCTCTCCAACAATCTTTTAACAGGGAGCATTCCTGAAAGCCTCTCTGTGCTGCTACCAAACTCAATTAATTTCTCGCACAATATGCTTTCGGGTCCAATTCCTCCCAAATTGATCAAAGGAGGTTTGGTGGAAAGTTTTGCAGGAAATCCGGGTTTGTGTGTCTTACCGGTGTATGCTAATTCATCGGATCGAAACTTCCCTATATGTGCAAGTCCCTACAAGAGAAAGAGGATCAACACCATCTGGATAGCTGGGGTGTCAGTGGTTTTGATCTTTATTGGGTCTGCCTTGTTTCTCAAACGTCGGTGCAGTAAAGACACTGCTGCAGTGGAACATGAGGAGACACTGTCTTCTTCGTTCTTCTCTTATGATGTTAAGAGCTTCCACAAGATCTCTTTCGATCAAAAGGAGATCGTTGAGTCGTTGGTGGACAAGAATATAATGGGGCATGGAGGGTCTGGGACAGTGTACAAGATTGAATTGAAAAGTGGTGATATTGTCGCAGTGAAGAGGCTGTGGAGTCGGAAGTCCAAGGATTCGACTCCAGAGGATCGGTTGTTTGTGGACAAGGCATTGAAGGCAGAGGTGGAGACCTTAGGAAGCATAAGACACAAGAACATAGTGAAACTGTACTGCTGCTTCTCCAGTTTCGACTGTAGCTTGTTGGTTTATGAGTACATGCCAAATGGTAATCTTTGGGATTCCCTGCACAAGGGTTGGACCCTTTTGGATTGGCCTACTCGTTATAAAATTGCATTGGGGATTGCACAGGGTTTAGCATACCTCCACCATGATTTGCTTCTCCCTATTATCCATCGAGACATCAAGTCAACAAATATCCTGTTGGATGTTGATTACCAGCCCAGGGTTGCAGACTTTGGGATTGCCAAGGTTTTGCAAGCAAGAGGAGTGAAGGATTCCACAACAACTGTCATTGCAGGAACATATGGTTACTTAGCCCCAGGTAGTTTCTCTCACTAAAGTCATTTTATAAGCATAATCTAAATCTGAAGAAAGAATTCATTTATGCAAATTCCATTATATGTTTTCCTTAACTGATAGATTAAATAATATATGCAAAAGAGTTATACATCAGAAATCATTCAGTATGATAAATTTGTTGAGTTTTACAATAACTACCATAAAAGTTATACATAATATGGTTTCTGATCAGTTAACCATGTAAGAACTTTTACAGTGCATAAAAATTAAACTCCTTGATAAATGATTAAGAATACATGGACTATCTGCGTTCAGGCTTGTGTAAAGCCAAAAGTACTGCTTGGATATTCTGTGGTACTGATTACTGAATGATGCCTTTTTACCATGTAAGTAATTAAGGAGCACGGCATGAATGTTAAAATATATCTAGGACTTCGTACCAAAAAAAACATAGTTGGTACTTAGGGGTTGGACAATTAGTCATGTGTTAACTTATCTATCATCTTTTTGGTGTTTTCTATGCTGAATATTATTGAGCATGTTTTCATGTCTGTCACAGAATTTGCATATTCATCAAGGGCCACCACCAAGTGCGACGTGTACAGTTTTGGGGTGATTTTGATGGAACTGTTAACTGGGAAGAAGCCCGTGGAGGCAGAGTTTGGAGAGAACAGAAATATTGTTTTCTGGGTTTCCAACAAAGTAGAAGGCAAGGAAGGGGCAAGACCAAGCGAGGTGTTTGACCCGAGGTTATCATGTTCATTCAAGGATGACATGATCAAAGTGTTGCGGGTGGCCATTCGCTGCACCTACAAAGCCCCAACAAGTAGACCGACCATGAAAGAGGTTGTTCGGCTTCTGATTGAGGCAGAGCCACGCGGTTCCGATTCTTGCAAGTTGTCGACCAAAGATGTATCAAATGTCACCGTAGTAAAGAAACCAAGTGAGTTATAATTTCAGTAGCTTCAAGGGTAAGAGGGAGCATATGACAACCAAGATAAGCAGTCTCTCCATAGATGTAACGTAACTGAGAGACTCGTTGTAGAGCAGAGACCAAATTAGTATAATTTTTTTTTTCTTCTGACAAGTAGTTTGTAGATTCTATCTTTGACTTTGGCTTTTCTCACTGTAGTTGCTCCCTTTTTACTGTCTTTGAATTTTGACTCTTATAAAAATTTGAAGCCAGATTGCTATCCAACTTTAAGGTAATGTACAGTATCTTTATTTCACAGTCCCCAACTTGGAAAGCATTTGCCAACTTGCTTTGTGGAATTTGGGTTGTTTTTCTCTTCTATCAACACTTTTATTTTGAGCGATGCAAGATGGCTCCAAAAAAAGGAGCATATATGTTGTGATTGTGAGGACTGGAAGGTCGTGATTCGCAAACAGCTCCTTTTTTATATTTTACATAAAAAAATAAATCAAATGGGTTCCAGATTCTGAATACAATATTCTGGCATTATTTGTATGTGGAGGGTCCCTATGCCAAAGCTATCCACTGGAAAATAAAGATGAATGGAGTGAATGATTGATTGATGAGAGCATCTTGTTGCCATATTAGCCAGTGAAAGAGAAGAAAGCAGCACCATTAAGTCTTCCCTTTTTTCTCTTAAATCCTTTTCAAACAGAGATTATTGTTTTCTTAGAATGAAGCCATGGGGAATAGAGGCATCAACCATGTTTTACCCACTTACAAGATGAAAGTTGAATCCCCCTTTAGCCTTTAATTTGTAGAAGATTTTTTAAAGTGATATCAGATTAAACCATTCCTCCTAAAACTAACCAGAAACTTTCAATCCAAAATTAAAGCTCAAAACCAGTTTACTGAGAGGAAGAGGAAAAACCAATCAAAATCACAACAATATTTCAAGTATATGTTGATACAACAAGATCATCATATTTATATAATATACCAGAAACATCAGTTTCATGTGTGTGGAAATCATGGAGAAAACAACAATATAACGAAAATGTTATCATTCTCTAAAGGCAAAAACTATTGGCAGCACAAAATCGATCAGTGGCACATAATTGCTACCTTGTAAGCAAAAATGTATGCAGAGTGAGTCACACGTGTGTGTACAATTATATGATATATCTGAGTTTCTGTACATTCATGTGCTTTATGAGTGGATGGCGGGGTCGCCCTAGAAGAATGAGATTCACAAACGCAACAATTTTTTTACGCTTGGTGGAGAGGCCATAAAGCAAAAAAAGTTAGAAGGTTCGATAAGAATAGTTTTCTTAAACAAAAAAGACAGAAAGCATCAACTTCCAAAGCATGCTTGGCTGTGAGAGGAAGCTAAATTGAGGACAGGTATGTTCTCCTTAAGTACAATAGGAACCAAAGGAGTTCAGATGAGACACTCTGATACCCTGCACCAGATTTAATTATCAATGCATATTCTATTCATCTATGGACAATAACCCCTCACAAAAGTCAGAAGTATATATATACATATATATTCCAAATATCTACTCTTGTCTCGTCTCATCTCATCAACAGTCCCAAAAGGGTGGAAAGCATGACTTTCACTGAATTAAACAGTCACTCAATCAAAAGTAATTGATGTTTTGAAAGAACAAAAACATACCTGCTTCGTACAACAAGGAATTGTTAAGTATGAATTTAACTCTAATGCTTACATTGTAAAATGCCAATTCATGACAAATTTGTACCTTTGCATTACCAGACAAACCAAAATGATGCACTATAAAGGCAATAATTGTCAACCCGACCAGTAACACAGAAATATTACACTTGCATTGTACCCATCACGTTATCTGTTAACATAATGAGTGTACCCCACCAGGGTCTAAAATCCTAGTTAGTAAGACAAATCTGATATAGCCATAGCTGAAAATAATTTCAAGTTTCAATGGGTGATTGGTCAATTTGTCATTGTTGACATCATTGGGAACATTGCCAACTTCGGCACTTCTGAATCTGTATGTGCCAAACCAAGTGTGTGCTCACCTCTTAGAGTAGAAAAAATTAGTGGCGCACCCAGGTCCGGAGAGAGTTTAAAATGGGCCTAAAATCTTTTCTCTGTATCTTTTTGTCTCAGTTGAAACTTCTCAAAAATATAATGGTCATTTAGAGGTTGTGTTTTTCAATAAAATGGAACAGTTTCTGTCACTTGTCTACGATTGTCCTGTCAAAAAAGGTCAAACACTCTAATGCACTATTGACGGGTCTCTGTTACCACGGAAGATCGTGCATCTAATTTTTGCTCCTATTAGGATTACCAATACAACACAAAAAATATTTAGTACTTGAAGATGCTGTTCCTGTTGTTGGTAAATTGTCACTATGACCATTAAGAGGGGAGGACCGTTTTCTTTTTGGGCTTGTGGTTAACCTATTATTCAATTTTAAAACCCATGAAATCTTTGGGCTAACATAATTGGATATTATAGCCCAACTTTCACCGGAAGATTTTAGAGCCCAGTCGGGTTCATTATGTGAAATTGGGATTTACCTTCTTTCATTTATGCATATTATCATAATAAGTGCAAAATTAATATTTTAATAATTAAAAAAATATTTACTATATATTTTCGGTATATGATTAATGATTTCAGGTATTTTAAAATTGAGATTGATTAATGATTGATGTCTCAATTTTCTTTCCCATGTGTTGCATCTTATCTAAGGTAAATTAAATTGTAATAATAATTATTTACATTAATTTTTGAACGAAGTCTTTTATAAAAATAATGCAATACCCAATTTAACTTTATAATATTATAAAATAAAAATTATATATATATATATATATATAATATTAAAGTATTTCTTAAATAGTATTAAAATGAAGAAAATTTTTCACAATATAAAATGATTGGGTTAGTTTTATAAAATTAAATTAAATATCTCATTTTTTAAAATATTATATTTATTAATTTTCTATGAATATTAAATATTTGTTTGATTTTTTTTATTTTTTAAAAATAGTTTTAGAGATTATTTTTTAAAAATAAATTATAAAATAAAACTTATTTAATAATTGTATTTTAAACATAAAATTATGATATAAAAAATCGTAATGAAAATTGAATTTTTTTATAACTTTATAATAATAATAGAAGTGAGTGATTTAATATAATTATTTAACAAAACGAGTAGTTTAATATAATTATTTAATAAAAGGTTATATAAAGTGAAAATATAAAAACATAATAAAAAATACTTTTTATCAAATTTGTTTCTTATTTTTTTTAAACTTAAAAACAAAAATAGTTTTCAAAATCTATTTTAACAAAATAATTACCAATCCAATTATACACGTTTAGTTTTTGGTTTAAACTTGTGCTTTGTGCTGAATTTAATCAAATTTGTTGAACTGAACTAAAAAAATATCATAAAGCACATCTGTTTGTTATATTCTTTTATGTCAGGCTAATTTAAAATAGAAACATGCTTCTATAAAACGTAACCATGAGAACATAACTAAAATTATAAATATGGCTTTTGCTATAAAATGCACCGTTATAATTAAATGCATTTTTTTAGAATAAAGGTGAACCTTAATATAACAATTCCTTTTATTGTAAAATTATTAGTTTTTCTATTTTTCTATATGATATAATCTTTATTGTTATCAAATTGGTCAGGAAATTTTAAATTTAATATTAAAAATTTCAGCAAACCGGAAATTAAATATTTCCTTCATGGATTTTAAAAAATAAACACAAAAAACTCTATTTCATATTGGTGTGGTTTGAGCATTAAACTAAATAATATAATGTAAAAAAAAAAGATACATAAAATTACAAAATTAGTTAAATCCTCGATTTTATTCTTTATTTATTTTGTCAATGAAATTTCAAACCTAATAGTTTGGTAAACACATCAGCGTAGAGATGAACAAGAGTTGCATATTTTCTAAAATTTAAAGACGAACACGACGGAAAAATATATTACAAATAACAAAATCATGTTGGAAAACAAATGAGATAAAAATATATAATTAAATCTGAATATAACTAGTGCCTACTACAGTTGTTAAGAAATGAAAATAAAAAATTACATAAGAACGTGGAGAAAAATATTTCTTATGATTTATTAATGAGCTTCCAAATCATTTATAATAAAATATTTCTTTTCATTTTTAATCAGTATCTTAAAGCAACAATTAACAAAACTTGTATTATTTTCTTAAAATGCTTACTTTATACGAGAAATTAGTTTGTAATTAATATTATTGCATTGTAATGATGATATAATAATAAATAATATTCTTATAATAGTATATTTAGTTGTTAAACGGAAATTTTTGTAAAACATAGATGACAAATCGTACAAAAATATAACCTTATTAAATTTAACGTGATTCGCACAATCAATGACACTGGAAAAGTAAACTAATATTGTTATTTGGTATATTTATTAAAAGTTATTGTGAAGTGAAGTAAAATTATTATTTTAAAATCAAACTATTTCAATCTTTTCACTTCTGGTCCACCAACATGCATAATATATAGAGGGAAAAATATTTTGCCAAGGACAATGTTTCAAATACACTTTTTATTGAATAAATTTAATGAATTTTATGAAACAATGTGGACATGGTTTTTTTAATGAGATTACACCTAAAATTTACCAAATAATAAAAGATGCTTTTATGATTGTTGTTAACATATCTATCGTACAATAATGTGGCACATGTTTCTAAATATTAAATTAGATAAAAGATATGAAAATGTTTTGCATGATTTTAAGATTTATTTATGAAATTATGGAAATTGATGTGTGAACAAAGAGAAATCTGGGATGTAACAAGCAATAAACAAAGTTTTTAAGTTGATGTAGGAAGCTGAGTTAAATGAAAAAATAAAAAATAAAAATTAAAGAGTAGTATTTATTATATTGTTGGTATGGTTTAGTGGTGGGGGTGTAACATTCAGAAGATAAAAAGAAAAAAGAGGTTTTATAAATATAGGGGCGGCTA